ATGCGGCGATTCGCATAACCCATCGCATAACTGAAAGGTGAAAGAAATAAAAAATAAACTTTCGAGTAGATGTGCGAAAGGGGGTAGTATGCGAGCAATATGCGGCAATTCTCATACCCCCTCGCATAATAGAAAGGTGAAAGAAATAAAAAATAAACTTTCGAGTAGATGTGCGAAAGCGGGTAGTATGCGAGAAATATGCGGCAATTCACATACCCCTCGCATAACTGAAAGATGAAAAAAATAAAAAATAAACTTTCGAGTAGACGTGCGAAAGGGGGTAGTATGCGAGCAACATGCGGAAATTCACATACCCCCTCACATAACTGAAAGATGAAAGAAATAAAAAATAAACTTTCGAGTAGAAGTGCGAAAGGGGGTAGTATGCGAGCAATATGCGGCAATTCGCATACCGCCTTCGCATAACTGAAAGATGAAAGAAATAAAAAAAATAACTTTGGAACAGAAGTGCGAAGGGGGTATGCGATTTCGCATACCCCTTTCACATACCCTAAACCCTAAACCCTAAACCCTAAACCAATATTATATCTTATGATATAATGTAATTTATTCTTTAAATTACCGTTCAAAATATATAAATGAACATTGTTATAATTTTTAATAAGTGGCTTTCTTCTATTGTCAATCAATTTCACAATAAATCATATTTATCTATATACCTTATCTTAACTCACTTTCAAACATTTTATCTAAGATTGAGCTTGAACATTATTATATTTTTTTAATAAGTGGCTTTCTTCTATTGTCAATCAATTTCACAATAAACCATATTTATCTATATACCTTAACTTAACTCACTTTCAAACATTTTATCTAAGATTGAGCTTGAACATTATTATATTTTTTTTAATAAGTAGCTTTCTTCTATTTTCAATAAATTTCACAATAAACCATATTTATTTATACCTTAACTTAACTTACTTTCAAACATTTTATCTAAGATTGAGCTTGAACATTATTATATTTTTTTTAATAAGTGGTTTTCTTCTATTGTCTATCAATTTCACAATAAACCATATTTATCTATATACCTTATCTTAACTCACTTTCAAACATTTTATCTAAGATTGAGCTTGAACATTATTATATTTTTTTTTAATAAGTGGCTTTCTTCTATTGTAAATCAATTTCACAATAAACCATATTTATCTATATACCTTAACTTAACTCACTTTCAAACATTTTATCTAAGATTGAGCTTGAACATTATATTTATTTAATAAGTGGCTTTCTTCTATTGTCAATCAATTTCACAATAAACCATATTTATCTA